TCCCCTTGGGAGGTGCTTTCTCTCTCTCTGTCACATAAATGCACTGTCCAACAATATAAAAATAATAATTTAAAACTTCTAATTTGCTTCTTCCCATATTTACAGTACTCTCAGTTACCAGAATTCAAAAGGGCATACAAATGTAACTTTCAGGAAATAACTGTTCACTTCCATTTTGCTTCCTAGATTGTTTATTTTTGCTATACCCTGTTCAAAAGGGCTTCTGACCATTTACCAAGTTTTGCAAGTTGTAATCAGATAAGGTAAATTAAAATGAGGCCAAAGAAAAGAAAATGTGGGCCAGCAAAGTGGCATAGTGGTTAAGGCACTGGATCTCACATGACTGACTGCACAGTTTGAATCCCAGACCCAGCAGCTTGTAAAACACGCCTGCCACATGTGCATGCATGCCCAAAATCCTGAGAGGAGAATGGAGTAGGAGGGATTGTGGTGTGGCCATCCTTCCTGGGGGTGATTTCTCACCGCGTCCTCCTGCTCCAGTGAGCACATGCACTCTATGGCAAAAACGTATTTAAAAAAAAGAGAGAGAGAGGGAAAGGAAGGAAATCATATGAACAGAAACAAATAGATCTAAAAATAAATCAAAACTGCACATCATAATGCCAACACCTTTACTACTGATAGTCCACAAATGCCACAGTAAGCTTTCCCGCAACCTGTGTGTGTGTGTGTGTGTGTGTGTGTGTGTGTGTGTATTTTTTTGCTAAAGGGCACATGCGCTCACTAGAGAAGAGAGAGTGAGAAAGCAAGCTGCCAGGTCTGGGACTCAAACTGTGGCTGAACATGTGGAAGTCCAGTTCCTCAACCACCACACCACCTGCTGGCCCCCCCTCTAGCAGCCAACTTTTAAGGAGAAAGAAACTAAAAATTTTCAGTGGCCTTAGGTTTAAAAAGAACACAGTTGTTTAGGTGATTGTAACAATTTTGGTCTTAAGATCAGATAGACCTTTATCCCAAAGACCCTCATAAAGAGGATATAACATCCAGTTTCATTGCATTTCATAGTAGGCATTCAATGAAATGTTTGTTGACTGAATTATAGTACTCTTCAGTGTAAGCTGGTAACATCACACGAACATGTGTTTCAGTTTTGCCAACATTGGAGGCACATAGCAGGAAGTAGTGGCCCAGATGAGTGGCTTACTGCTAAGTGTGAGCTAATGTTCCATTTTAGAATATCTGGAGGAGGGGGATGGCTTGTTAATTCTTAAACTGAGTATTCCCGAGTGAATGCTGGTCTCCATAAATACTGGCAGCAGTTTAGGCATGTACTCTGCTGCCTGTGGAATACAGACCTCGTCTTTTCAACAGGACTCACGGCATACTCATATTGTTATCAGAATCAAGGATCCTAATAAGGCCCATTGAACATAAGCCTGTGTTTCTGCATGTCCTGAGGCAAGCAGTGCAAGTTCTCCAGGGCAGATTAGGGTCTTCCTCGGAAAATCTTTTATCATCCAGCCTAGTACATCAACAAATGCAGAGTTAATTTCCAAAGTTCCATTTCTTGCATCTGAATTAGTTCTAGCCTGAAAATAAATTTAGAGTAAATATAACCAGATTCAACCTCAGCCAAAATAAAGTATTAAAAAGGCACTCAGAGAATGTTCAACTACTTGCTGATACAGTGTCTGCGATAAACTTCTTGTGAAGTATACATCAAAGTGACCCGAAAAAGCAAACTGGGATTCATCTTTGCAGCCAATTTAAAATTGAAGAAGGTCGATTAGTTGTCATTTTTCTGACACTGAGTATTTCGCAGGATCAGTTGTGTTTTGGACCTCACCAGTTCAAGATTAAACAATATCTTCTGCCTGTAAAGGGTTGCTGGTCTTCATATTTCTCTATATTGGGTAGCAAATAGTGTGGTGGTTAAGTGCTGGCTTCCACGTGGAGGGAAGAATACCTGTGGTACTAGCTAGATGGCAAAATTTTATGATTTGCATGCCCTTGGTAGAATAGAATACTCACATCTTGCCTTGTGGGTAGAGAATAATTAACCTAGGGCGTGGTGGTGCCCGCCCTATGGCAAAAACCTATGGAGGCTGGAGGATTGCAGCATCGAGAATAATTAACCTAGACCAACCTCTGCTTTGGACCCACCTAGTAAATTGTAAAAGTGAGACTCAAAAAAATTAAACTGTTTTCAAGTAACGAACAACATCTAGATCAAAGCTCAAAATTTATAGGAATACAAAAATATAGAGAAGCCAATAGGAATATAAAAATGTCGAGACAAGGTAAAATTAATAATGTGTGGCATATAAGCAAAGATTGCCCAATAGGCAAAGAGGAAGGAAAACAGGACTTATGATAAGAGGAATGACCAATCAATCAGAACTTACCCGGGGCCGTATTGTTGTTAGAATTAGCAGAGAAATACACCAGATAATACAGTTAGATTCCATGTGTACAAAAAGTTATGTAGGGGGACCAGCAGTTAGCGTAATGGCTATGTCACTGGGCTCCCATGTAGTCGACCGTGGTTTGTGTCCTGGACCTGGTGGCTTAAAACTCACACCGGGCACATGTGTGTGCGTGCCCAAGATCCCAAGAGGAGAATGGAGGAGAAGGGATTGCGGCGTGACCATCCCCCCGGGGGGTGATTTCTCGCTTTCTGTCTCTATGTCTTTCTCTCTCTGTCTGGCGAGCGCACGCGCCCTGTAGCGAAAAAACCTCTCCCCCCCAAAAAAAGAAAATTAAGTAAGTAAATCTAAAAAAAAAAAAAAAAAGGCACTTGGGGGCCATTAGGTGGTGTGGAGATTAAGGCTTTGGATCCCACATGGCCAACTGTGTAACTCAAGTCCCAGACCCAGCGGCTTGAAAATCACAGCAGGCACGTGCGTGCGTTCCCCAAATCCCAACAGGAGAGTGGAAGAGAGGGCACTGAAGTGCGACCATCCTCCCAGGGATGATTTCTCACTTTTCTCTCCCTCTTTTTCCCTCTGGCGAGCACACACACCCTATAGCAAAAACTTAAAAAAAATAGTGAGAGACAGCAATTGTCAGATTGAATAAAAAAGAAAGACCAAATTATATGTTTTGTGTACCAAAGGTACACTAAAAATATAAGGCTAAAGGTTGTAAATAAAGGTTGGAGAAAAGATATGCTGCTTAGACTCATCAGCAGAAAGCTGGAGCAGCTGTAGTGACACTAATCAAAGCAGATTTCAGACTAAAGAATATTACCACAGGTGAAGGTTATTTCATAAGGATAAGGCGGTTGGCTAAGCAAGAAGACAAAACATATAGTAAAAAAGATCTCCAGGATACATGGAGCATGGGCCACCCCCTTGGTGCGGCGATTTAGCTCTATGCATTGGTAACTGGCTCCCACACGGCCATTGTAGTTGGAGTCCTGGCCCCAGCAGCTTAAGAAACACCAGGCACGTGTGCACACCCAAAACTGACAGAATGGAGGAAAAGGATCGCAGTGTGACCAAGCCCTTGAGGGAAAAGAGTTCTCTCTCTCTCTCTCTCTCTATCTCTCTCTCTCCTTCCCTCCTTCCCTCCCTCCTTCCCTCCCCCTTTCCCTCTCCCTCTTTTTGTCTCTCTGGTGAGTGCACACACCCTCTAGCAAATTTAAAGATATAATATACACAAAGCAAAGACTGATAGAACTTTAAGGAGAAATCAGTCCATAAATATAGCTGTGGAAATATTTTAGTGCCTTTTTCTCAGTAATTGACAGGACAGTTAGGCAGAAAATCAGCAAGATTATAGTAAATTTGAGTAATATTCTTAATCAGTTTGACCCACCTGGCATTTATAGAACACTCCAGTCAACAACAGAACACATATTCCTCACAAGCGTATATGGAATATTTACTAATATAGTCCCTATTTGGGGACATACAAGTCTCAGTCATTGTAAAAGGATTCAAGGTGTGTGCAGATGGTTCCAGGTCTCTGTTAGCTCAACCTACCATAACAAATTCTTACAGACTGGGTGGCTTTACCAACATAAATGTATTTTCTCTGAATTCTGCAGGCTGAGGGGGGTGTCTGCATGGTTGGATTCTATTTTCCAACGTGACTGTGCCAGTTTACATCCCCACCAGCAGTGTATGTGGTTCCAGCTTTGCATCCTTGCCAACATTAGGTTATCTGGCTTTTTGATCATGGCAGTCTAAGTGGGTGTGAGGTGGTATCTCATTTTGGTGGGCTTTTTTTTTGGAGAGGTTTTTGCTATAGGGCATGCACGCTCACCAGAAAGATAGACAGATAGACAGAGAGAAATCACCCCCCAGAGGGGATGGCCACACCTCAGTCCCTTCTCCATTCTCCTCTTGGGATCTTGGGCACACACGCACACGCGCCTAGCGTGAGTTTAAGCCACCAGGTCTGGGACTCGAACCGTGGTCGACTACATGGGAGTTCAGCGACATAGCCATTACACTAAGTGCTGGTCCCCTCATTTTGGTTTTGATTGACATGTCCTTGATGACTAATCATATTGGACATCTTTTCACGTGCTTTTTGGCCCTTTGGAGAAATGTCTGTTCAGATCATTTGTCTATTTTTAAATTGCATTCTTTTTTATTATTGAATTTTAAGAATTCCTTGTATGTTTTAGAGTCACTGCTGTCAGGGAATAAATCAGTACAACCTTTCTGGAAGCAGTTGTGTGATATGTAAAAGTCTCAAAATGCACTTGCTCTTTGACCTGCTATTTCTCCTAGAGTTTTATCATAAGGAAATAATTAAGGATGTGCACAGAGATATTGCTGGAAGGTTCAGCCACATCGGAATGCTTTCATCTGCAGTCAGGAAAACTCTTGAACTGATATATTAGAAGGAATGTAGGTTGTTTTCTAAACTATGGTAACAAGAACCATTTTTCAGAGTTGTTCTAAAGAGATCTTCCTTTCTTTCCTAATGTCTTAGTATTAAAATATTGTCTCACTACTGTTTTTTCTGACTGACTTTTTCTTTTTTAAGCAAAGCTGAAACTTAACCTGTAAAATTTTTTTCCACAGGTCCCTTAATATGGACTTTGAAAATCAAGATAAGGAGAAAGACAGTAACAGTTCTTCTGGGTCTTTCAATGGCAACAGCACCAATAATAGTAAGATATGTCAGTTAACTTTCATGTGTGGCTGTCTTCATTTTATCATTTTTGTACCCTCAGTTAATAATTTACTGGGTCCAGGCCCAGCTGTGGTGGTGCACAGTGGGCACCACCTCCTTGGAAGCTGGAACTGCATGGGAGGTCCAGGTTTGGCTCTTGGGCCAACCTGAGGATGCCAGGCTCAGTTTTGCACACCTGAATAACAGACGGTAGGAAGATCAAGATATAGTGGTATCCTGTCAGAAATACCTCTCTCTTTCTTGTTCTCTCCCCCACCCCTCCTCCCACCCTCTTTCCTTCTCATAAAGAAAAATAATAGTAATTTGCTAATTCAGGGATTAGGTTTGGTATCATAGTTAGATCTAACCTGTATGGTATAATCTGCAAATTCTAAATGTTCTAAATCTCAACTGTTGATTTCTCATGTCCTGCTTTTAACTTAGGCCCTAAAAGCCTGCTCCTGTGATTTCTTTACTTCTTAAAGATGAGCAGGATTCTTCTTAAAGATGCCTGCTTATGATTTTATTTGGGTATTCTGCTGATGTTAATCATTTTTTAGGTTTTGATCATTAATGCATTCAGTGACTTAAAAAGAACTCTACTCAAAGTACTAGTAAAACAAAGTATTAGAAGTATCTCATGATAGTTAAGTTTTGTAAGAATACTTGGTTTATAAAAACTGGAAGTGCCCGTATGACACATGTGCAACACCAATCTTCAGTCAGAAAGCAGAAGCAACCAGGGACCAGCAGTTAGCGTAATGGCTATGTCGCTGGACTCCCACGTAGTCGATCGCGGTTCGTGTCCCAGACTCGTTGGCTTAAAACTCACGCCGGGCATGTGTGTGTGCGTGCCCAAGATCCCGAGAGGAAAATGGAGGATAAGGGATTGCGGCGTGACCATCCCCCCTGGGGGGTGATTTCTCGCTTTCTGTCTCTATGTCTCTCTCTGTCTGGCGAGCACACGCGCCCTATAGCAAAAAAAAAAAAAAAAAGCAGAAGCAACCCAAAGGTCCAAGACTAATGACCTTACGAACAAAATATGGCATATCTATACCATGGAATACTTCAGCATTAAAAAGAATGAATTACTGCTGTGTGCTATAATATGGACAAACCTCAAAACACTGTGCTAAGTGAAAGAAGCCAGACACCATATGTTGTATGAGTCCATTTATAGAAATTCCCGAAACAAATTTACCTATACAGAAAGTAGATCTGTGACTGCTTGAGTCTGAAGATGGGAAGGACAATTAATGTTTTCCAAAGGAAATTAGTGGGGAGATGAAAATGTTCTATTGGGTTGTCGGGGAAATCATGACAAATTTTTGCATAGAAAAATACATCATAATTCTCCAGACAACCTGATAAAACTAGATTATGGTGATAGTATCATGCTTGGTAAATCTGCCCCCCAAAATAATTGAATTATACAGTTAAAAGGGGTGAATTTTATGGTATGTAAATTATTTTTCAATAAAATTATTGAAAATCTGTAATATTTATTGTGGAGGACATTGAATTAGAAATAAGGAGAATTGATTTGATAATGTTAACAGATTTCTATTGAGTACCTGCCATATGCTTGACATTCTACTAGATATTTTGAACGATACAAAAGTGCAAGAACAGTTCTTCCCAGATGTTGAAAATGTGCTAAGATATGGGGCCAGCAGGTGGTGCAGAAGTTAGGGCACTGCATCTCACATGGTCGACTGCAAGGTTCAAGTCCCAGACCCAGTGACTTGAGGATCATGCTGGTGCATATGTATGCATGCCCAAAATTGCTAGAGGAGATTGGAGGAGAAAGGATTGCAGTGTGTCCACACACACACACACCCCACCCTCCAGCCCCCCCCCCCATGGGTGATACCTCACTTTCCTTTTCTCTCTGAGTGCACGCACCCTACGGGGGAAAGGGGAGGGAAAAAAAGTGCTAAGATAGATATGCAAATACCACTTCACCTCCTATGCCTGGGGCAGGTACTTTTTTTCATCTAGCTTTGCTAAAGCCTCAGAATCCTACTGAACAAGCAGGTACAATCAGTGGATCTGAAAAATCTCTAGACAGGAAATCATTTTGACATCCCATGTACACAGAGATAAAGAGGAAGGTAGGTCAGTCCCCCCGGGAGCAATTCAAGTCAGGTCTCTTACCTAGAGAAGGTGTGTTTGACCTGACACAGTGAACTATTATTTCTGGGGAGTCATATCAGGTGGGGCAAGCATATGATAACAGGCTTGGAGGACAGTCACCACACCTATGGGTCAGGTTAGAGTTGCTGCTCACCAGGGAGGAAGTACTGGAGTCTAATAAAAGGGTAGAGGATATTGATGGAGGACCAGGAATATAAAAGAGATCACTTAGTACTATTTCAGTTTCTCTAGTCATTTTAACCTTGTCAACCAAATTGTACTTGCCCAGTTTTCACTCAGTTAAATGTGTTTCATTTTTCTCCAGCAGTGCAAAATAGGCATGGTAAAGACAATAAGTAGAAGCATTTGAATATAGTGAATCTTTTCTTAAATTTAGGATATAGATCTTTGTGCAAAGTGAAACTTTATGCTAGTAACTTCCTTGGAGCCGGGTAGCACCCAGTGTAAAATCACATAGCAGCTCATCGTCTATCAACATTTTAAGCCAAATTACTTTATACTCTAGAAACTCATTTTTTAAAGTCTGGTATCATATAGCATATATGTAAATTATGTACTTAAACCAGATTATAAAATCTGTTGTACATTGCATCCAGAAACCTAAGAGAAATTAATCATGTGTGTCTACGTACCATTTTAGTCTCAAATAAATAAGTGATCATGTCAGTCCATGTAGTAGACAGAAGTTGAAAACATCAGTTTGTTTTTTCATTTTTCATTTTAACCAGAGCCCAAAGAGTAGTAGAATAATACCTCTTTTTAAGTGATAGTCTTAAATCTGCTTCCTATGTTGTGCTACATTATCCTCAGCAGTGTCTGCTTCTTCAGTGCCTATACTGAGCCACAGATGCCAAAAAGGATAAGGACAGATGAGGATAGAGTACAGTCCACTTCCACATAGCCAGGCAAAGCATACTGAAAGACATAGCCGTTGCAAGAAGGCCCATACTTGACTGTAGTTGACCTCATTCCAGATTGAAGGGATGACACGGAATGTATTTTCAGGAATCAATGAAATAACAACCAGAGAGATGAAGAGATACATGAGAGATTAGATATGTGCTAGAGAGATTGAAGTCTTCAGTTAATTAACTGTGTAGAAGAAATACAAGTTTCTAAGTAAAGGAACTTGAGAATTTAATGTGTGTGGGATTTTTTTAATATTTGTTACTATTTTTCTGATTTGCCACAGGAGGGGCATATGCTCACCAGAAAGAGAGAGACAGAGAAAGAAAGAGTGAGAAAGCAAACCACCAGGTCTGGGACTTGAACTATGGTCAGCCGTGTCAGAGTCCAGTGCCTTAACCATCACGCCATTAACCCAGCACCAACCACAGAATAGATAAATAAAATTTAATATACTTACATAATGAAAATGAGTAAATTAACTACATACAAGTATGGATGATTCTCACAAGTAATGTTGAATGAAAGAAGCCAGACACATGGCATAATATAAACTACATAATTCAATGTATATGTATTTAAAAAAAAAAAACAGGCAAAATAAACATTAGTACTTAAGGATGTATGCTTGGGTAGAAAACAGAAACTAGAGCAAAGATACCTTAACAGTCAGCAAAGTAGTTTCCTTTGGGGAAAAGAGTGTAGTGATTGGGAGGGACATAAGGGAGACTCCTGGGATTGGTCTGTGTCTTTCTTGGCCCAGGTAATTCACTGAGCTCTACATTTTTGTACTTTTCTGTGTGTGATGTTACATGATTTAAAAAAAAAAAAAAGGTTAGAAAGAAAGAAAGTGGCAAGGAGGAGGATAGAGCCCCCAGTTCCTCTCTAATTTCCCATCACCTTGTTCTAACTCCTGTATCTGCCCTAAGAAGCCTATGCAGAGCTGCTTCCTCCTGGCACATCAGTCCTTTAGTTAATTAGTATTAGGTAGGCTTGAGAAAGAGACAAAAGCTAGAGGCCGGCTTGTGAGAATGTCCTGCTCAGGAGAGGCAGGGTCCCTGCTGGTAGCCTGAAACACATCCAGGATGCAACAGGCTGGAGGACTAGAGGAAAGGGATCATGGTGTGATCAGACCCCATGGAGGGTGTTCCTTCCTCTCTGTCTCCCTCTCTATCCTACATTCTCATGTGCACATGCATACATTCTGTCATGAATAAAGAAAATTGAATCAAAAGAGATTTTGGCTATAGGGCACATGCACTCACCAGTAAGAGAGAAAGTGAGAAATCACTCCCCACCCCGGGGAGGGGGGTTGCCTACGCTACATTCTCCTGCTTCTCCTCTATTCTGCTCTCGGGATTTTGGGCACATGCACACACACACCTGACATGAGTTTTAAGCCCCTGGGTTTGGGACTCAAACCATGGTTGACTACACGGGAGTTCAGCGACATAACCCTTACCCCATCTGGTGGTCCCAAGATGAAAACAATTTTTTAAAAGCCAGGGCCAGCTTGGTGGTGCAGTGGTTATATACTGCTCAATAAAAGCTGGATCCATATGGAAAATCATAGGTTCAGTTTCCTGGTTGGCCTATATAGGCCAGGCATGCAACATCCATGAGCCCAGCTGGCTGGAAAAACTGGAGCAGCATGGGGCAACATCATGTTATGAGGCCCTGTTGAGAGTGCTTGCCTCTTTTCTCTGTGTCTCTTTTTTTTTTTCTTCTTTTTTCTTTCTTTTTGAGAGTTTTGTGTGTGTGTTTGTGTGTGTGGTGTTTTTTTGGGTTTTTTTTTTCTTTTTTTTTTTGCTATAGGGTATGTGCGCTTGCTAGAAAGACAGAGAGAGACAGACAGAAAACAAGAAATCACCCCCCCGGGGGAGGGGGCATGGCCATGCCGCAGTTAGAGAGTTCTGTCTTGTAGATGCACATACACACCCCCACACCCCCACCCCTAGCCAGTGATCCATAGAGCAAGCTTGGTGGGTTTGGCTACCATTCAGGCAGATGGCTTCCCAGATCATTTCTGTTTGTCATAACATATTGATCAGTTTTCCTAAATGGAACTGCCCCATTGTTTGCTTCATCTACCTAGACAGTAAGAAGCAGTTTTGTTTTGTAGGAATATTTAATATTTTATTTCACCAAAACCCCTAAGTAGGGACAGGCAAGTTTAAATACTTAAGAGTACTTTTTAAATGTTAGCTCATCGTTGCAATCCTTTGTGACTGGTTATGTTCATCCTGGTCGCATGTTTTGTTTGTAGCCTTACTTTAATGAACAGAGACCTTTACTTCTGCTATTTTGTTATAGTAGTTCGTATGGAGATTTCTTTAGTTCCTTTCATGCATTTTTCTTTATGATGTCTCAGTGGGGTTGATTTGGAAGTGAGTAGCATTAAAAAAAAATAAAGTTGGTAATTTTTCCGTCAGCATTTATTAGATTTTGGCATGTTTTCCTTCTCTCTTTCTCTCTCTCTCTCTTTTGAAAGAGATTTTTGCTGTAAGGCCATGTGTGCTCACTGGAGAGACAGAAAGCAAGAAATCACACCCCAGGGGATGGCCATGCTGCAGTTCCTTCTTCATTTTCTTCTCGGAATTTTGGGGATACACACACGCACCTAGTGTGGGTTGCAACCCACCAGGTCCAGGATTTGAACTGCCGTCAACCATGTGGGAGTCCAGCACCTTAACCACTATACCACCTGCTGGCCCCTCTTTTCCTTCTCTATCAAATACTTTTAGTGTTTCTCAAACCTGGATGTAAAGTAAAATTTGGGGGAACATTATTAGCTAGACCTAACCCAGAGGTTTCGGTTTAATTGGCAGAGGGTTGAGTCTGAACATTGTAATTTTTTTAAAGTTCTCCAGGTGATTTCAGTGAGCAGCTAAGAATTGAGAAATCGCTGTATTAAATCCTACTCCTTCCCAAGAGTTGTTTTCCCCGTTCATTTTACATTCTGGTACCTTAAAATGTTCCCGTAAAATATTTTTTCTGATTTAGGGTTTTCAGCTATGTCTCATTTTCCACCACCACCACCCAGAGTCAGTCCTCAGCTCCTAGCGACAATGGGAAAAGTGAGGGACCAGCAGTTGGCGTAATGATTATGTCGTTGTACTCTCACATAGTCAACCACGATTCAAGTCCCAGACCCAGTGCACCCACGCTGGGTGCATGCATGCCCCAAATCTCAAGAAGACAATGAAGGAAAAAGGATTGTAGGGTGGCCATCCCCAATGAGGAGTGATTTCTCACTTTTGTCTCTCTGTCTCTCCAGCAAGTGCATGTGCCCTATAGCAAAAATCTCTCTCTTAAAAAAAAAAAAAATGAGAAAAGTGGATATGAGTCCATAAAATTCACAGACGTTAAGAAATTATTTTAGCCAGTCGGTTTAAATCACCGTCTTTACCGCATCTATATACAAGACCACAAATACACTCAAATTGCTTAATTTGGATTTGTACTCTCTTGATGTTCCTGATTTGTTTTGTTGATTTTTGTGTCTGATAAGGGTTCCATTTAACAAATATTTCTTGAGCATCTCCATAATGAAGGCACTCTGAGAAGTGCAGGGAGCTCAGAATCTCTCTGGAAAGGAAAGAATCACGGGTCCTGGACGATCCGTACCTGGCATACTAAACCCTAAAACCATCAACACTTTAATGAGTTGATGTATGTGAAGCGCGTGGGCACGGTGCCTGTTTCGTACTTTGTTAATATGTCCCTTTTTCTCTCTTGCAGGTATCCAAACGATTGACTCTACCCAGGCTCTTTTCCTGCCAATTGGAGCATCTGTTTCTCTTCTAGTAATGTTCTTCTTCTTTGACTCAGTTCAAGTAGTTTTTACAATATGTACAGCAGGTAAATGAGTTTCTCGTCTATCCTTAACATACATAAAAGGAAAATATTTCACCTTTTCAAATCATCAATTAAGACTTACACAGCATGCTATGCAAGCTTTTCTTTGTAAGTCTGGTATTTCTCCTCCCCCTGCCCCAGCCTCTTCCTTGAACACTTAATTCACGAGTCATTTCTTCAGACCTCCCAGCACAATCTGAAAGAAAGGTTGGGGATTTAAAACCTCCAAGCTTTATGACACCACAGCAGTATAATTCTTGCTGTAGCTCCTCTTCTGAGGGATACCAGGCCTGGTTTGGTGTGGTGGTCATCCAAAGCGCCATCTGTATTTCTACAGTTGGAAACATTGATAGCTCATCAGGGAATTGACTATTGGCGCACTGATCTGTTTTTTTTTTTTT